TCCAAATTTCCACTGCGGGTTTTCGAATCAAATCCGCGTCAGAATCGATTGGGCAATAACGAATCGCCCTTGGAAGAAAATCGGTTGAAATGGTTTTTTAGGTGCTAGCCGCTTCATCACGGGCAGACACGCGGTTTTGCTGTTAACCATTTTTTTTTTTTTTTTTTTTTTTTTACTACACATAGTTTAACAGATTCTATCCCTTTGTCGATATCAAGGTCTCCACCAATTGTTTTTTTGATTTGATTTTGATTGATTTTCTTTCATTTGCAAAAACCACGCTTTTCCAACGCAGCATTACTCTCCCGCAGCATTAGACCACAATGAAACCCGTACTTTCCCTCTGTACTAAAAAAGTAGTATGCGAGAAAATCCAAAGACTCCAGCAAGACATTAATTCTAAAGGACTTTATTTACTTTCCTTCCGCGAAGACCAACCACTCTTTCCACATACCGACTGTTTTCCTAACGCACCCCCAAATTTTGCAAATGGTCGAAAGTTGCGCGTCCGACCGCGATGGGGCGCTCGCGGTGGCAAAATTTTCGCGGGCAAAGCTTTTTCCCCCCAAAAGCGGCGAACACGATCGGTTGTGAACCTTCAGAGCGCGGCTTGCCGCTTTCCTCTTCAGGAGTTCCACGGCAACACACCCCACCCCGGATTCGCAACGCGGATCGCCCCCCCCGCTGTTCGGCTCCAAAGATTGCCACCCCCCACCCCACCCCCGTTTAATTCGCAAAGCGCGGGAACGGTTACCCCAACCAGCAGCGGCGAGCGCTACTCCCTAGAGGCGATTATTCGCCAAAGCACTATAATTTTTCACATCTTTATTTTCTTTTCTGCATTTTAATTCTCTCTTCGAGTGTCCAGTAATCATTTATTGGTGCTGTAGTTTCTGAGAAGTAACCAACAACTTAAAAAACGCAACATGCCGGTTTTAAAAATATACAAACATGAAAAATATAGAGTCACTATTTTGGTAAACATATAATTAACTAGGTGCAATATAAATAACTTTAGTCTAAGTAATTCATTATAATTCATCCATACTCAGAAAATTCCAGACAATATTGGCAAAATTTAACTTGTGAACCTATTGCCACCTTATTAAGTAAAGCAAATACAACGGAAATAGGCTCCAAACAGTAAAATTCCTTAATGTTACATTGGTTTTACTTATGTAAAAATTGTTTTATTATTTTTCAAATTCTTCAGAGTACCCCATCCGAAATAGAACAACGGGTTATATAGTGCTTACGCTATTAATCTAGTTGGTAAGAGCAGTGGGCAAAAACGGGAAAAAACCAATTCGATTTTTGGTCGGGATAATGGAACCTTTGGACCAGATGTAATCTTACAGTAAGTCCCTAAGATGAACGAAAGGTATTTCTAAGAAAAGTGTATTTCATATTTTTGTTTTTTAAATTTCTCTGTTCCAAAGTTTACCCACCATTTTTTTTTACTTTACAATAATCGGACTGGCCAGCAGAAACCACGTTTTATTTTCATATTCCAAG